GGAAGAGGAAGAGGACGAGGAGGAAGAAGAAGAAGAAGAAGAAGAAGAAGAAGAAGAAGAAGAAGAAGAAGAAGAAGAAGAACAACAACAACAACAACAACAACAACAACAACAACAACAACAACAACAACAACAACAACAACAACAACAACACAAGGGAGGCGGTGGCCCTGGCGAAGAGCACACTCTTCGGGGCTCCAAACATTTCGAACGGATAGGCTACCACACACACACAACAACAACAACAACAACAATAACAACAACAACAACACGACTCAACCGTGTACCGTCTGTGGCCTTTGCAGAATGAACGAGTAAGACAGGAGGCGCCCATGTATATATATATAGGAAGGTTAGGGGACCACCGGGCTGAAGACATTGACCTGAATCGTAATGTTTAAGAGAAAGAGAAAAAAAATGAAAGTGTGCAAGTAGTGTGCAGATTTCTGCGTCCGCTGGTCTACGCCAGCTCCTGTGCGTCAGTCACATCTTGCCCAAGGTTGTTGGGGTTTTTTTTTTTTATTGTTGTTTGTTTTATTTTTTTTGGGGGGGGGGAAGGGGAGGAGCTTGGTTTTTTGTTTTTTTTACAACGCTCGCAACTGCATAAGGTCATAATAATATGAGCGCACGGGACACACCAAACAATTTCAGTTGGTAGGAAATTTTTAATTAACGTGCACAACTTGCACACGGGACCTCCGAGATTTTATACCCATTTCCGAGAAGGCTAGGGTTAGATCTCACCTACTATAAGATCAGGGGTGTGGCTGAAAGACAGCAGTAAGAAGGAGACAAGGAGTAGCAGTAGAAAGGCTGCAGAAAGAGTCAGGAGCCTATAGGAGGGGGCGGGTATAGGAGGTGAGGGGGGGGGGGGGGGTTGTGCAAGGTATGGCAAAACAGCTAAGAAAAGTTTATTTCCCAGAGTTCAAACCAGGTTGTACTGCGGAATTTTTAGACGGGTTCCTATCCTAGGTATAAGCATTATAGGAAATTGATTCTGATATACCATGAAAATGTGTTCTTTGAGGGATCGAACTCATGCTGAGACCATAGCAATATTATGAATGATAATAATAATAATAATAATAATAATAATAATAATAATAATAATAATAATAATTATAGTAACATTAATATTAACGATATTAAAAAACAATATTAACAAGAACAATAACAATAATAACGATATTAACAACAGTAATAATAACAATAATAACAAGAACAACAATGATAACAATAATAGTCTGATAGGTTACCTCTAAAGTGCGGAGTTCCTCAGGGTTCGGTCCTTGGTCCTGTCATCTTTACAATGTACACGCAAAGTCTGTCATCAATAATTTCTTTATATGCCCTCAATTACCATCTTTATGCAGACGATACACAGCTGTATGGATTCACTACAACTGACAATGTACACAATCTCATAGATAGAATCGCCAGATGTATCAATGATATAAGAAAATGGATGCTCAAAAACCAAAAAAAATTAAATGAAGATAATACGGAAATATTATTTCTTCGTAGCAGTGCATGCAGTGAAATCGACAATATCAGAATAAACATAAATGGCCACGAAATTTCAGCCCAAACTAATATAAAAGATTTAGGTTTGGTGCTAGATCAAGATATGTCAATGAAATCCCATGTATCCAATCTTTGCAAAAATCTATATCTCCAACTGAAGAAAATAGGGAGCATTAGAAAATATCTACCTGTTGGTGTCACCAAAAATTTAATAACATCACTTATATTGTCAAGGATTGGTTATTGCAATTCCTTACTGGCTGGTGTACCTGATGAACAGTTACAACAACTACAAAGAGTACAAAATATTGTGGCCAAAATAATTACTAAGAAACTAAAGCATGATCGTTTGACTCCTATTTTAAAAGAATTACACTGGCTCCCGGTGAAAGAGCGTATCATATATAAAATCTGTTTAACTTGCTACAAGTGCTTACATGATTTATCACCGGACTATCTAAAACAGTTGTGAGTGTGAACGTGTGCCTTTATGTGTGAGTGAATGGGTGTGTCTCTTTGTGTGTGAGTGCATGTGTGTGACAGAGATAAAGATAGAGAGAGAGAAAGAGTTAAAGAGAGAGAGAGAGAGAGAGAGAGAGAGAGAGAGAGAGAGAGAGAGAGAATGTGTGTGTGTGTGTGTGTGTGTGTGTGTGTGTGTGTGTGTGTGTGTGTGTCCAAGCGATTTTCCCCACGTTTTCGTCGTGCCTCATGGTTAGATGGACACCCTTCAGCCCTCGGCGTCTTCCATGATCGGGGTCATTGGGGGTCAGAGAGCGTGGAGATGAGCTCACCAGTGCTGTTTTCAAGTTCCCATTCTAATCAAAACCCATGAAAGCAAAATCTCCGCATGCGAAATGAAATGTCTCCGCAAGACCCCTAACATCACAAGAC